ATTTAAATTAATAATCGAGGGTGGTTATAGACACATTTAGAATTTTCCCTTTTTTCTGTCATAGTTCTTAATTAGTTAATTTTACCTGTGAAAATTGTCATCATTTATTAAAGAAGGAATCAGGTAGAGAAATACTTAACTTTATTTGAAAAACTCAACACAACTTAACAAGTCCAGAATGATGAACTTTAACATTTGGGTTGGTGTGATTTGACACAAATTTAACGGTCTTTTAGTGAAGATCGCAGTTTGGCATCCCTTAATTAGATAATGCAACAACAACAAATTCACATTCTGAAATTTAGCGATTTCAAGTTAGTTTCTTTTTAAACACTGAACAATTCACTTTGATATTCTCATAGATAAAAATGAATATTAATAATAAGCTGTAAATTTAGTAATTCTAATGTGTGGATATATCAATCGTGTGAATAGAATTTATTACACGAGTTGTATTTTATCATCTTCAATAACGAAGCCAAATACCTTCATTAAAGGTACAACAGTCAACTACCTACTTCCCTCAAGGATTAAACAAAATTTTTCCTAATTTGAAAGCTGTTGGAATTCTTAAATGTGGATTTAAATCAATAACGCAAAGAGATTTAGTTTGACTAGAAAATATTCAGATACTGAATTGTGGCGGCAACAAAATCATTTCACTCCCCATCATTTGATGTAGAGTTTCTGAGGGATCCCTCCCTAAGGGAAAAAACCAAGGGATTTGAAGTAAAAATCCCTTTTCCCTATTTCCCTGCTTTTTGCATAAGGGATCCCTATTCCAATTTCCTAGAGAACATTTCTATTTTTCAAAATAAGAAAAGGTGCGCGAAAAGTGTTATAATCTAAAGTTATAACATAAAATTTGAAAAAATAAAATCGCTGATTTGGAAATATATTTTAAAACTTATTATTATTATTGAAAAGTTTTTTCCTAACGAGCAAACAAAATTAAATTTTTGTTTCTACACAACAAAAAATCCCTTTTATCCCTGATCCCTTTCCCTAGGATTTATGCTTTCCCTTTTCCCTGATCCCTGCTTTTTCAAAAACCAGGGATTTTCAGAGACTCTAATTTGATGGCCATGATTGATGAGATAAGTGATAAATCAGTCCAAAGAAGAATCGGTAAGAATCGACCATCTGATGAAATTCAAATGAAAAGCATTAAACCCGAAGTTGTGAAGATTTTCTTGAAATTCAAAAAGAATTTCTTGACATGTGTTCATTAGCTACTGCGAATTATAATCAAATAAGCAGCGACGATACTGAATTGATACTGCGACATTGTTACAGGTAGAAAAAAATCACGCTTTGAATATCAAAGAAAAATATTTAAATTGGCTTTTATTTTCACAGAAAATATTTTCACTCAATGACCGCCAGTCTCATCTGATGAGGCAATATGGATTCAAATGCAAATACTCAAATATATCCAATATACCTATATATATATCATTTTTAGAAGAAATTCTTGCTAAAGTCTCACGAAACTGGATTGATATTGAAGTAGATTGTAAAAGAGAAATGTATGTTTAAGTTGCTGAGAAAATTAACATCAACAAAAAGTTAATCGAATATGTTGCAGAGATGGGCAAATGTTCCGTTCAACTCGATTGACTGACTGACTGACAAGTCAATGTCTGTCAGTCAGTCAGTCAAATCCCAACTCATATTATGTTGTGTGGAAATATTTTTAAACATTTTAAAATTTCAGATCAAATTAACAAATTTCTTTCAATTAGGAGAAATTAAGTTCAAATTTTTATTTGAAAGAAAATATTTATGATAGATAAACGAGAACTCTTCTGAGAAGTTATTCCCATCACAGTATGATAACAGCTCCTTCAATTTTCATGAAGACCATTTTTTCGAATCATTAAAAGACGAATTGATGAACCAACCGTAAAAGTCAAAGAGCTTGTTGAAGCAAAAAGAAATTTTTTATTTTATGATGAATAAATACAAGAAACATTAATATTCAAATCTTATTGCTGTATTGTTAATTTATCTCCAACATAAGGTCGAATCTTATAACTGTTGTTATTGAGAAGTTGCTAATTACAGTTGAGATCATCGAGTTTATCATTCTGGATTTGTTAAGTTGTGTTGAGTTTTTCAAATAAAGTTAAGTATTTCTCTACCTGATTCTTTCTGTAATAAATCATGACAATGTTCACAGGTAAAATTAATTAATTAAGAATTATGACGAAAAAAAGGAAAATTCTAAATGTGTCTATAGCCATCCTCGAATTTTAAATTTAATTTCTTTTCACTTTATCTGAGTGAAGAATTATTGTAACATGATCTCTATTTTAGAAATTTCAGAAAATATCGAATAAAAATGAATGAAAAAAAAACATTAATTCAATAATATTAAATTTTATAATTTATTATAAGATTTATATTAATGAATAGCGTCAAATTATTTTAATAACTACATAACTAACATAACATATACGGTAAAGTTTCAATCTAAAGTTTGATTAATTTTGCGTTTTTTTAATGGCATATTGGAGTTCCTTCTATCATTAATCAGAGCGATCATAGCTTGCGGTAGTGATACATCTGACATTGTTGTTGTAGTAACAAACGTTGATTCACAGATATTTAAAGCTTCATTTTTTATATCATCATCTTTCAGATTCTCAATGATCATTTCCTCGACTATGTCTTTTAAAAAACTCACATGGTAATTGCAAGCGAGATGATAGATTTTAAGATTTGTTGAAAATTTGATTCTTTTTTCTGCTTCTTCTTCTTCTTGGAATTCTCCGGTGTACAGAAATTTTAAGAAGATCTTCACAACGTCTGAATTTATTTCTTTCATTTGGATTTCGTTAAGTTTTTGATACTTTTCGATGTCTTCAAAAATTGATGTAAAAACTGAACTCTGCATAGCTAGAACAATTTTGTGTGCTTTAAATTTTTCGGTGTCACTGATAATCGTGATGTCCGAGAAAAGGCCAGTTGTCCAAAATTGATTCAATACTTCGGTGTTTAAATCCTTTCTTTGTCTAATTGTTTGTGAGGTTTTGTTATATTTTTTTTTCTCATCCATCAAAGCTATTAACTTGGTTAAAGGAACTTTATAATTCACCTTCAAAGTTGAGTCTTGATAAAAAGCATTTATGGAACGATTATAACGAAAATCTACTAATTTTAAACCATTTTTCAAAACTGGCATGAGAAGTTCTGATGAAGTAGAGTTCAAGTGATTTTTGTAGAATGAAATATGAGTTAGTTTGTTCATATCTCTGAACAAATTGTGAGGAAGCACAGTGATTTTGTTACGGTCACAGAAGAGTGTCTCAATATTTGTCAATCCGTCTAAATCTCTTTGAGTTATTGATTTCAGTCCACAATCAGAAATTTGAACAATTTTCAGATTTTGAAAAATTGTGCCCAATCCTTTAGGGAAGGAGGTCACTGATAAATTTTTAAAAATAACCGCTATCACGTCTTTGTCACTTTTTGCCTCAAGATGATGTCCATTAATTTTTTTGATGAAGGTGTATGGCGTCGCAATTGAAGGTGAAAGAATAATACACGTGTAGTATGGACATTCAAATTTATTCCATTTATGTATACAGTTTTTAAATTTTCCAGTTAATTCCATAATAACAAAACTAGGATAATGAAAACTGTTTTTGATATTTTTATATCTGGAAATAAAATAAACACGAGCTAACAAATTTTATATCATGAAGGTCACCTTCAACTCGTTTAAGAGTTGAACAAATTTTCTAATGAATTATTGAAAGTATAAAAATTGACGGGAAATACTTACTTATCTTGTCTTATATTAAACTTCTTAGATTAGCAAATCTGTAAGCCACTTATTGTTGATAATTGACATTTATTGTTGATAAAAGTAAAATAGAGAATCAAAGTGAATTCTTCAGCGTTTAAATCGAAACTAACTTGAAATTGCAAAATTCAGGATGCGAATATGTATGTTATCAGCTGGTTGGGTGTTACAAAAGGGATTCAAACTTTGATCTCCGTTACATGACCGTTAAATTTGTGTCATATCACACCAAACCAAATGTTGAAAGTTTATCATTCTGAATTTGTAAAGCTGTGTTGAGTTTTTCAAATGAATTTAATATCTATTACTTTACTTGCTTCTTTCTGTAATAAATAAATGGCAATTTTCACAGGTAAAATTAGATAATTAAAATTTATTATTTCTATAAGTAATCCCTTTTTTTCATTGCTATACCATTGGAGATTTTTCTGGAAAGAAATTCAATCAAAAATGATCATGGTTGTGATTGTAGCATTGAAATTTTCCAGTCGCGTATGTTATCACGACAACAATAAGGTTGAAAAAATGAAAGAGCGAAACAAATGAATGCGTTGCAATGCATAACTGACGTAATGTAAGATTTGTAAAATTTCGATGGTGAAGTTAAATTGACAGCACTTAAGAAAAATGAATAAATAAAAGATTTCGTCTGAAGTCGCTAAAGATCATCACATTAGATGTTCACATCGAATGAGTTTAATTTCATTTTAATTGAACAATCGCTATGATGGGAATGTAACTACACCATTCCGAAAATAATCTCATGAGAAATATTTACAACTTTTTTTCTTTGCTTCCATTTAATAACTAAACGATGTTTCAAGGTGAAATGACGTGAATATTGAAGGCAAAAGGTGTGGTGTGAAGAATATTCGTCTTGTGTGACATAATCATTAATACTGAATGTGAAGATGTGTAAACTTTAAAATGGTTGTTCGAAAAAACAAAAGAGAATTCAATCGTCAGCATGAGAATCAGCAAATCGACCTTATGAAATGTCGAACGCGTTCAATGAATCAGAATCGTGCTCAACAACAATCAATAGCGTTCATTTATTTATTGAATTGTACATACATTTAGCAAATTAATCAATCTGTCGGTCAATCAAACGAAAATTCCAATCAAAACATATTTGTTAAGTCAAACGGTGAAGTGACGAAAGCATAAAAGCTGTATCGATATTTTGATAACTTTATAATAAAATTCAGCTGCTGTGGGCGATTTAATATTGATTATGTTCAACCACAAATCTGATTAATCTTCAGTAATCCGCAGACAACATGAGCTTTTCTCTTGTATTAAAAAATGTTTAAAATGTTTCAATATTTGCGTGGGTGATTCAGATTAAATTAAATGTTGTTATCTGACAATTTTTATCACATAATATTCTTTATATTTACGATGATAAATTAAGATAAATTTTATGTGTTTAAATTGAAAATGGGAAGTTGTAAAACAAAGTTCAGTGAACCACACAGCAAATCACAATGACTCGAGATGGCATTTGTTGTGGGTATTTATCTACTTTCAGCAAACAGATTTTTATTGTGATGATAAATGATTCAATGAGCGCGAAAGTGTTTGTTATATTTTGGCCATTTTAGGAGATGAATACGGAAAGATAAAATGTTTAGTGGTTGATTTGATAAATGTTTTCAAGCCTGAAACTTTTATACGTAGCCTTAACATTAAACTTTGAAATACAAGCAAAATATTTGGAGAATAAATATTTAAGAATCACAATCAATTTGATTTTCATTCAAAGAAAATCAAGCGAAACATTTAAATAAAAAGATCGTGAAATTTTGAATTCATATCCTATCTATTCTTTATTCTCTTCAGAAACTTTTTGGCGCGGTCGAGGTTTGAGGCCAAGGCCACGATAAAGATGCTTCTTTCTGAATTCATCATTGTTCATATCACTAAACTTGTTGATTCCTAATTTAAATGTGGATTCACCCGCATTATGTTCTTCAACTTTCCTCACATTGTCTTTGAAGATTTCAAATCTTTTTAATTCCTCATCACCTTCATAGTATCTGTCATACTTAATCTGTAAATATTTTAGATAAATATTTGTAAATTTTCAAAGTTTTTATTTCAATCCTGCCTTAAATTCTTCCCATTGTTCTTCCACAGTTGCTCCATAGACAACAGCAAATAGAACTAATAATGTTACAAAGCTTAACAATTTCATCTTAAGTCAGAAGATCAACAACGTCTTCTTTGCAGAACTAGTTTCAGAAATTCACTGAATTTCTGCAACGACTTGTCTGGCATTTTATACGTTTTACTTCGGAAGCGGAGATACTTAGACTTATGTGAAAATCAGGTTTTGTTTTGTGCAAACATTGTGATGATTATGGTCATTAAACTTTTTCGTATAATTTTATTCGGGATGAATAATTTAAAGCTTAGAAACTACATGTATGCAAATTCATTCAAAAGCTTATCTACACAATCAATGATGAATACATTTATGTAAGCTTTGAGTCTTTTGTTTAAAGGCTAACCAAACAGTTTAAGAAAATTCTAAGAAATCAGTGTTGTCTCTAGATATTCGAAATTTTTTCCTTCGTTCTATAAAACTTCTTAAAAACAGAAAGAACTGAGACGATGAAGCACATGAGATATATTCACTGGTCTAAGAACTTTGAGAATAGTTTTGGATGTCTTATGCGATGTCTGAGTTAATCTTGTCAACAAGTTTTTAATACTTACGAATCAAAATAAATTTTTGATAATCTTTTTATTAAAAATTACCGTAAAAGTTTTTCTTTCAAATATCTACTCATTCTTTATTTAATTAAAAAAAGAAATGTATGAGCTAAAAATAGAAATTTTATATTTTTCACTTTCTTATGCCTATTAGAAACCTCATCCCACTTAAAATCATAAAACCTAATTTGATTATTTCTGGTAACAGCCAACTGGACTATTTTTTAGTACTTTAACTTCCGGTGCACACCTTTTGGCATCCTACATTTGGTCATAGTCTTCATTATGTTTCACGTTTTTGAAAAAAATTATTATCTTTAATTGATTACTGAAATATTTTAAAGTGTACCTTAAATTCAGCCCATTGTTTTTCAACGGATGTAGTGAAGGTAGAAAAATTTAAGGCAATAAAAAGAGAACACATAATAATTGCATGTTTAATGGTTTTCGACGGAAACTTTTCAGGTGATGATTTATTTTATTTTTTTATTGTTTTGTCACGATATTATTGATTTATGGTTTGCTTCAATCTCATCGAAAGATCAGGAATTAAAAATACAAATTGATGATGTTTTATAATTTATTGAAATCATCAATACTCAAGAGCGCCATCTATGTGTGACTAGTTAAAGCACGCCAATGTTGCATTCATCTCGAAAAATTTTGTGTCCGGGACCAAAAATATCAACAAAACATTGAATACATAATCCGAACTAAAATAAGAGAGAAAATCCTCCCAGTCGAATTTATGTTTTTCTCTCATATATCTTCTCATGAGAGACTAAGTTGAATACAAGAATCTTACAAGAACAGACCGTTTGTATAAACTCCAATTGAAAAAATTGTGATTTGAAAGGAAAACTTCTGATAAGGTCCGGAAAAACTATTTAACATTTTGAATAAGTGCGTGTGTGAAAAAATAAAACTATAACTGAATCAAGTTTCATATGAAATAAAGAAGAAATATAGAAAAATTTGTTGATGAAAATTTTTTCACTTGTCAGAGAAATTTGATGAGAAAAAAAATCATTGCTCACGTACAACATGTGAGCGCAAACCGAGAGGAAATTGAAAATTTCTCTGAGAAAAGTGATTGTTTTCCTCATGATTTCTGAATAAAAACAAAACTCATACAATCGAACAAGTGAGACATAAAAGAAATATTTACAGAGTGATGATGAAAATGTGTGAATTGTTAGTGATTTATGTTTACGTGCAAGTGAAAAATATATACATAAAAAGTAGATAAATTCATTATTTGTGTGGATAAAAGTAAAAGATCCTACTTTTATTTATATTAATAAAAATAAATCATTGGACAATTCGTTATCGACAGTGAACATATTACATTTTAAGGATGAACTTTTAAGCTTTTAAAAATGATTTAGATAAGTTTATGAATAGCTTTTATGTGATTGTACTTGTGGTTTGCTTGAATGTTCTCGACGACTAACCTTGGTGGTTTAAGATCGAAGTATTTCATTTGCAAACATTTAGAGTATTAGATTTCAAGGACTTATTATGTCAATTTCATGTGATTGAAAACTCAAACAAATCATCAAAGAATTAAAGTTTGATCATTTGAAAAATTATAAAATGTGTGCGAAAAAGACTCCAACGACGCCAACAAAACAAAATCCGTTGACAGGCGTGACGAAGTCACCGACAAAAAAAGTTTTAGCTTCGAAGCAGACAACAAAGACAAAACAGCATGATGAGTCAGTTGCGAAAGTAAATTCTGTTAGTGCAATAATAAAAGATACGAAAACAAAATCTGACGGTAAAAAGCTCGAAGCCGAATCGTTAATAGCAACAAGTTATAGTAAGAAGACAAGTAAAGCTGTTACGAATGAAACAAAAGCTTCAGTCTCTTCTCTCTCCAATAAGACAAATGCCAAACAGTCACAGAATATAAAAGATATGCGTAAAGTTGCCTCTCGTGAAAACTCTCCACTTGACATTACGAAAAATAGGAAGCTGGCAATAAATGGGAAACCAAACAAAGTAGAAACAAATGAATGTGATCGTGACAAATCGGGCCACAATAAATCAAATCAAATCAAAGATAACAGCAAGGTTAATGACAAGAATGATGAAATGAAGTCAAAAAGTAATGAACATAGCAATAAATTTGAGAAATCTTTGTCGTCATCTTTATCTCTGCCTAAATCAAATGGTGAAAGTGATAATGTAATCAAAGGAACAGAAAAGTCTAATAAGAAAACTGGCGATAAGGGAAAGTCTCATGTTTCACTTATTTCTGCTTCCAAAAAGCTCAATAAGAAGAATGACGATGAGGGAAGTAAGAAAAATGCTGACAAGTCAAAATCATTAAAAGCCGTGAAGAAAGTTAATAAAGAGAAAGATACCAAGATTAAAATCTCAAATGAACTCAAGAACTTGGGTATTGAAATGTCCAATTCTAACTCATCCCTCGTTGTTGTCATTCAAGAAGGCATCACCAGTGGGATAAAAACTTCAATTTGCGAGATGGTGAAAACGAAAGCACGATGTTGTTCGAACAATAGCGTGAACAACCAAAGTTCTTCTCCAGCGAGAAAAACTTCGGACATTAAAGTGCAGAGTAAGGCTAATAAAGAATCTCAAGAACGGAGTGTTAAGGAGGTAGATTCAAAGATTAACACAAACAATGAGCTGGTTGAGAAGAAAAAGGCAAGCGACGAGCAATTAAAATTAATTAAAATACAAAAATCTGTAGATAAAATCGTTGAGAATTCCTCGAATGTTTCTATAATTGAATCAGGAAAGTCTCTCGTTAGCGGTAAAAATAAAATTTCAGCTTTAGTAAATGCAAAAAATAGAATAAAGTCTTCAAACGAATCAAAAAGAGCTGAAAGCATTAAGAAATCTAATGAATTGGAAGCTCCAAAGCCTATAAAGCGAAAATATGTTAAAAAGAAATTGGCAGACGTGTCTAAAAATAATGCGATTGTCAATGAAAAAATCGATCATAATAAATCAAGTCTTTTAGCAATATCAGATACAAAGAAATGTGATATAAAAAGCTCATTAAATGCAGACACAAAGACCAATGCAAAGCATGAAATCGTATCGTTATGCAAAAGCGACAAAGTTGATGCTTGCGTGTCTGATCTAGAAACTTCATCCATTAACCATAAAGTTAACTCAAATTCCAAGATCAATGTTCAAGACAAAAATAAATTAAAAACAAATAATACAGTTAAAAGTTCAAATGAAAAGAATGTTAAGAAAAAGCTCGACGTCCCTGAAATGACAGCAAAAATAAAGAGAAAATATGTTAGAAAAGTTAAGCCTACAGAAGCTCAAGTTGATTTTAAGCTTTCTTCACAGCAAGGTGAAGTTGATAAATCAAAAGGAATAATACCTGAGAGTAATAAATCTTTGGAGACAATCGAACCAAAGAAGACAGAAGTATTTGAGTCTCATAAGGATGGAATGAATGAAAAGGATTTTAAAATTTCTGCTAAGAAACCTCAAGAAAAGCTCGCTACGCCAAAGAAAATTGTATCCAGAGACAGTGCTCAGGAAAAAGTTCAGCAAAATAAAAATGCTAAGAGTCAAGATAACGGAAAGAAAATCATTGAAAAATCGTCAAAAGTCCCTGTAAAGAAGCAGAAAATTGATGAGAAAATTTCACTTCAGATAAGCTCTTGCGAAAGTGGAAATTCCTCAAACAGTTCCGATAATGATAGCGAAATATCTGAAAAAACTTTTAAGAAACCATCAAAACCAACTCAACGAAATCTTCAAAGAAATAAAAGTGCAAAGCAAATCATAATCAAACGAAGTCGAGTTGCGTCATTAAACGCTATTGCAAAAGTTCACTGTTTGTATGAAAACGAAGCTCGTTCAACATCGGACGCAATAATTGCTAAAGCAACCAGAAAATCTCTCGTCGTTGAATCAAGTGATGACGAAGATGAGATTGGCGAGGATGAAAATGAAAATCAGAAAGTTGATTTTCAAACAAAAAGGTGAGTAAAATAATTTGATAGTTAACTGAGAAGTCAGCTATGAGTATGTGTATCAGTTCAATCAGAAACGTGTTTGTTTTAATAAACATGCCAATCAACAGGTCGCTTCGCACAGCACCAGGTCTTCGAGGCATTGGAAAACACTGGGAAATGGGCAGCATGAGTTCTGAAATTGATTCCGATTCCGATGAATCACATGGAACGGTAAGCCATTGAAATGAAGATAAAATTGAAAACGGAAACTTTTGTTTTCTTTTAAATATTTCTTTCCCTCCTTTTACAATTTATTTTTAATACAGGCAAGAGATGTGGTTAAATGGAAACCGATAAAAGCATCTCCGGCCAAAAAAGATTCAAAAACTTTGACGAAGGTCGATTTGAAGTCTAAAAATCAAATAAAGAAAGTAGTTAAACAATCGCCAAAGCACAAAGCTTCTGATGAATCTCAAAAAGAAGACGAGTCTGATGATAAGAAAATTCAACTAAAGAAATCTTCGCCGAGAAAATCTTCATTTTCTGTTAAGAAGTTAAGTGGCACTACGAAACGGAAGAAGACAAAAGATGATGACAAAAATAGCGATAAAAATGTTGTTACAAAAAAGCGGATGGCGAGCTTAAATGCGAGCGCAATTTTAGCAGCAAATTACGAAATTGAAAACTACGCAGCCAAACATGAATCTTCTTCATCTGAAACATCGGAAAGTAATAGCAGCGGTAGCAGCAGCGAAGATGACAACGAAAAGAATGCAACAGAACCACCAACGATGAAGAAAGAAAAGAAAGATGTTAAAATGGAATCCGAAGAGGTATTTCTTTTGTCATTTTACTTATTTAACTTCTCGCTTGTTTTCTCTGTTAAACAATCGACAATCGTCGACGTGCAAAGGAATTGAAACATCGAAGTCGTTGCGCGTTTGTCTTAAAGAATTTTAAATCACTTAGATTTTTTTTTCTTCTTCATCTAGTCGCGTCCAAAGTCAACAAACTTGGTGAAAATTGACACCGATGTGACTATAACTGGCGTTTATGTCAACTCTGTAAGCAGTCAAGAGACAATTTGTAAGACGTTGAAATACCGAACAGCTTACAGCGTAACGGAAGAATGCGTTGTATCTCGTCCTCCCACACAAGAGCCACCAAAATCTTACACACCCTTGTCAGCTTTGACGAATATGCGACCGCCAGGAGGACAAATACCGCCCGAGCCTTGTAAGTGTCGTTAAACACTCGACTTTTCTTTCATATATCTCTCTGCAAGACTTGTTTAAATAATGACTGAATGAATTTTATGTTTGTTATTCCCTTAAGGCATGACATCACCATCGGATCAATATCAACCTCCACCAATGTTTGATCCCCACATGGGGCCCATCCCAACGTATCATTATCCACCTCAGCAACCACCCCCACAACCTTCACCCTATCCATCACATTCAATGCCAAACACATCAAGTGCATTTTATCCACCTCAACAAGTTCATCGAGATCCAATGGGTGAGTCAATTTAAATCATTTTTTATCATCGTTCTCAGAAGGAAACATTTTTTTCCTAATGGTGAAGAATATAATTGAATCATTAACGTTTTATGCACCATAAATTTCGATTCAGATTGCAGCGTTTTTGCGTCACATTAAATATAAATTTTAGAAAGATTTTTCCACGAGAAAGTCTCCTTGAAGGCGCGACGTTTGCCAAAATAAATGAGAGAAATGTGTAATAAAAAGATATCGAAAATATTTAGGGAATTTAAGTTGGGGTATAAAATTTATGTAAGTAATTTCGTGATAATCGTTGTATCGTGAGGTATGTGTTTTGATGAAGATAATCAGAGAAGCAGAGTTTGTGGATCAAAAAATTTAGTGATGATGAAGACGCGAAGCTTCCCAAAAATCTTTATGTAATCGTTTCACAACAAATAATGTTAATGTCCCGAGGGCAGTTTAAATATCTCATGCGATTCATCTAAAATTTCATTTCTTCAGATATTTCAATTGAGATTGCTTCGTCTTTACCACTGACTTCGCTTTCTCGTCGTTTTCTTTTTCTCTTCTTCTTTTTTTTTTTGCCGAAAAACGATAAAAGAAAATAAACAAATAAAAAGTTTCTCTCATCTGTCTGATGTGATTTTATTACGCATGGTTGATGTGAAGAAGTTTCGACAGAGACTTTGAATATTAATGCTGTGCGTTTTGCATAAATTTGATATTTCGAATTTATAATCGCTTAATTTTAATAAGCCAGCTTACCATGAATATGTCGTCGTTCAGGTTCATTCGAATGTTAACGCAAATTGATAGAATCTGACAGATGACCCCATCACCCTATAATTGAATTCAATCTGTCGCATTCGTTGACATCTTGACCTCCTTGCGCTGTATAAAATTTACAGTTCCATATTTCAACACTGAATGTTTTTAAAGAAAGCGCAATTACGTATCACTTTGAAGCTTAATTAATTCTATTTCTCCTGCATTCATTTTTGCCAGCAAACTTTGGAACGAACGACATGTGAAATTATAAAAACCAACAAATGTTAATTCATTGAGAAGTGCACAACGTTGGAAATGAGCTTTTTATGGTGAATGCACTTACGGAGGAATTTTCCTTTTTACATGTTGAACATAGTCAAATGCTGATGAAAGTTGAGTTTTTTCATGCCAACTTCACACATGAGTACATCTTACCAAGCACTTTTTTGATCATGAATGGCAGATGAGTTTATTTCACGAGAGAAAATGTTCAGTGAATCATCTCATTCCGGAGAAAGACTTTCAGGAAGCGTTGATGTAGAATCCTTTTTTTAAAAAAAATCTTCATTCTATTTTACACCTTCCAACCATAATAATCACTTTTAAAAATAAATGGAAGCTAAAGAAGGAAATAGAGTGAGAAATATTTTACATGTTGACTATCATGATTTATGATGTTGTCCTATTAATTTCTTCATTAATACTATGCTATTGAATAAAAGAAGAAGAAGGAGAAGTGGAATGATGATAACCCCAAACTGAAAGCCGCAATATCATTGAATGATGTTGATTATCGGCCGACGCTGAAACAAACACGTATTGTGAAATATGACACTATCTGTCTATTTAATCTTTTCTCGTTCGTGCACGTATCATGTCATACCAAAGCAGCTTTATTGATTTACTTTCATTCCCCCCTCACATTTTTTATTGAATTTTCATTTTATTATGTTTTTTTCTCTATGAAAATCTACCATTACTAATAAAATCTGAAATTCGAAGTGAAAGATAGAAAAGCTTTTAATCAAATTCGTCGTAGCATTGTTCTTTTTATTAGAAATAAATCAAATTATTTATTGGATTATATCTACATACATAAATGCACATAATGCTAGATTAAAACTGGATAAACTTTCACTTGATCAAAATAAAAGCATAAGGGAGGGTAAATTAGTATATTAAAAGTTTTAAACACTCTTTCAAGATGAAGAAAAAGTTTTATTTTTGGCAACTATCCTTAGATGTTCATTGACCTGCTACATTTTTAATGTTTTCCGGGTCGTAAAAAATGAAAGAAAAAGATGATTTGAAAACTAAAATAATAAAAATCAATGCTAAAGAGTCAAACACAGCAATTCGTGTGATTCTAAATCTGAAGTGTATAAAAATAAATTAATTCTTCTTGTTTCGTCTATTTCTTCTTTCCACCCACGAGCGATGGAACTTCTCTGTTGTGCAAAATAGAAGAAAATTTTCAGAGCTCATACTAAACACGTAAATAAAAGTATTGTATGATGATTCCAAAGCAGTTGCTCTCGTATGAATAGGAAATGATAGATATTAATAGCTTTCTGCTGTCTGACTTAAAAGGAAATCGATTTTTAAAAGTCGATTCAAATGAAAGAAAAAATTGTTTGGAAAACATTTTATTACGCTTTTTGCTCCGTTTGTTTCGCTGATTATGTCTTGAATACGTTAGAAGAACAGAAAAGAGAGAGAATTATTACAAACTACTCTGTTAAGTTAAAGTTCTTAAACAAAAAAACTGTGTAAGGAAAGCTGTTTATGGTAAAGGCAATCAATTTTATTCGCTTTCTTGCTTATGACTATGTTTCGTAGATTATTCATGTTGACTTCAAGTTTTCAATATTTTAACAAGCGTTGAAGAATACGAAGATGAAGGTGATTTATGTAAAGATGATTCTTGAAGTAATTTGAATGAAACTTAATTGCATTCATTATGCTTCGTTGACTGCTTCGAAAAAAAAAAATTCCTCAAATAAATTACTCAAAACGTTGGCTGATCAATTAGAAGTTAAAATCGAAGCAAGGCATTCACATCATGCCAAACGCGAAACGATTTCATTCATTTCTCATTAAGTCAATTAAAGGGAATGAGAAACTAATAAAAATCATTCGGAAACATTCCGAAACGTGAAAATTTGCCAAGTTTCATTGAATGATGAGAACAATCGACAACAGTGAAATCACTGAGAAAAAAAAATCCGCTGCCGGTCAATCGTAACATGAATACGTAAAACATAAATCAGTTTATCGGATAAACTTGAAGCATGTGTAATAAATTTTAATAAAAAAAAAGGAGAGTAAAGTAATGTAACAAGCAAGCACATGTAAAGTTGGAGGTCGGTAAGCGAGAGGCATGAATTTCATATTTCGCATGAATTTTGGATTTACTCGCACGAGGCCACTTATTTGTAGCGAATGCAATGTTTGCTACTCTGTAAAAGCTTTTATGGAAGAGTCATTTACATCGAAATAATCTTTTTGCGTTCTTCTAATGAATTTGACAGTCAAAACGTGCTAAATTAACAGCGCAGATTATTTTCAATGATTCAAAATTTAGCCAATTTGTATCGCAACACTTAATTAATTTTCATCTCTTGGGAATATTGAAAATGCCAACGAGAGTTGTAGACACCGTGATTAGTGAATGTTTAAAGTGCAAAAAAGGGTAAACATCGATAATCGTTGGCTCAATGGCAATAGCCTCGATATACTTTTTAATTTTATGCCACGTCACTCTTCACCATTGTTCACAAAATAGCTCGGAAATGATGGTGTTAGTATAATCGGCAAGAACTGATATAAATCGGAGGAAAAGGTGGCGGGAAAAAAATTAAGCCAATACATCGCCCACTTTTGGTCTTTTCTTTCCTTACTTTGATTATTGACGGCGCATTATTAAGCAATGATGATGAAAATGAACGAGGAGCGATGATGAAACATAAAAACCATTTTCCAAACATTTTATTGATATTTCTTCTTCGCCTTTTTCGCTTCTCTTTTAATAATAACTAAAATCAATATCGCATAATGTAGCACTGTTCCCTATTTTCCATTCAAACTTTTCATTGTTATCAAAGGAATTGGAAAATGATTTTGATATCTAAACGCACCTAATGGAGTTGATTGTTTAAGTTGAAGTCAAATTCCTAAATAATAAATTTTTCAAGTATCTCGTTCACCTTTTCCAGACCTTCTTCGAAGGACTCTCTAAGACATTTCAGGACGCAAGGAAAGTTTATAATTTTTATCCTCCTTGAATCTATTTAATGTCTATTAATTTCTTTGCCTTCTTCCACTAGCAGATGAGGAAAAAATATTTTTCATTGTAAAAACTTTTTCTTTACTTTCTTTAAAAAGAATTTTCTAGAACAAAAACATTGACGAAAATTGCGCAAGCGTTGCACGACCGAAACGAGAGCAGAGAAAAATTTCTCAAGTTTCACATTTCTTTTATTTCCTATCATGTTCATGACATGATACAACACATTTTTCTTCCAAACAAAACCCTCTTTCTCATAACGTTCTAGTAGTAGATACACAGGCAAGTGAAATTTGGTTTTTCAATTTTCATTTTATCAACGACATGAAAGAAGAAAATAAAGTTACGAGTAAGAGGACAAACATTTCCGAAGAGAAATTGAATTATGAAAATTTTATTAAATAGAACAAAAAGTTATGCTTTCTTTCTGAAACATCAATCCACTAACAGTACCACAATTTGCTACTTGTTAGAGGTTGATGCTAATAAGCATACGACGACTACCTGCGGCAAATGAAACGCTTGTCGGATTAATTAAAACATATAATTCAAAGTCTTTGGCATTTATCGCTGTCGTTGATATATTCATCAATTGTGCTTAATTGGAATATTCGTTGCTACTTCATGACGAACTGGAATTTATTACAGAAAACTTTTTTTCCCGTTTTATTTATGATCATAACAATCGCAGAAATCGCACGAAACAAATGATATAAAAATCTTTTTCCGTTTTTCATTACGTAATGTTTGTTGAAGAAGGAAATCTTTTTCGATTGAATTTCATTTTCGTGGTGGGTGGGAGAAAATTCGCTATAAAATATTTGTTTTTCTGTTAAAATTTTCACGCGAAGCTATTTGAGTGTTTTGAAGTTGTTAAAAAGATTTAAGGAAGCTATTTTTGTGTTACCACAAAGCCTCTGAGTTAAAAGAAAAGGAAATTTTCAATGAAGCCACTTTTCCGCATCATCATAA